CTATACCGGGCTTAAACTTGACCCAACCCGAGCGCATGTTCACGGATTTTCAACGGGAAGACGGCGCGGATTCCGTTTTGCCTCGTCTTCTCCCCCCGCCGCCCGGCGACTGGTGGTGCAGAGCTTTGTTAACTCTTCAATATATGAAACCTATTGGAGAGAGCTAAATTGCCGGGTTGTCATAGTTACCAGTTTTTAACAGTTGTTTCTTGGTGTGCACGATATCAATTATCCGACACATCCATGCCATTCGGCAAACAGTATCCAGGCAACATCCATTCTCCCACTTATCATGTGTTCATCGTCATTTCAAGTGTAGAGGCAAATTTCCGCGACTGGGAAGGCGTGTCGGATCGTTTACATTTTAAAATGTGGTCTGAATAATCCAAAGCAATCTTAAGCGTAAGGAATGTCCAAAATCGTTTCAACGTAACAAGTTTTAGTCTGAAGAAATTCCGGCAATCGTTCTTGGGTGTAGCTGAAGGGATTACTTGCAAATGAAGGGCAAAATATTTGAATTTTGGTCGGTGTACTCGATTACGCTTTGGTTCCAGATTGTAAGCTGAGAACAAACAATGTGTTAACACACTGGACATCAGACCTGGTCACGACACATAGATGGCCTGACAGACTGCTTGATCATTTCAAATGTCACAACAAAATGTGCACCCTGAACTGTGTGGTAACCGACTCGCCTAATGAAATTGACAATGAACATTGATGCACGTACATACCTGTCGCGCGGCCACATTTTTCTGACCACTGCGAGAGAAGCATGCAACCGTTGTTATGCAACTATCTGCGATGAATTCGACGGCACGTTCCCATTGCCACTGGCAACGTTTCTGCCTGAGGGATCAGCCGAGCGGCAGCCGACTTCCTGAGCACCTTGATGTGCGCTGTTAAAATAATGCAAAGGTCACGGATCGGCGGCCCGGTCCAGCAGCTGTCGACCCGACCCGACCAACACAAATTTTGCAGATCCGTCGATGAAATCCCAAAAACTGGCAAATGCATGCTGGTTAAGTGTTTTTCGTTGACTGTAGTGACAGCACGAGTGGTTGTGCCACGTGGCCGCAGAGTCCAACTGCACTCGGCTTCGGACCAGATCCTAGGACCATTTCTAATATATAAACGATAACTCACAAAACAGCCCGTGGAGTACATTTTTCTTAACGTAACGTATGCTAACGCTAATAATGGCCCACAGCGCATTGTAGCCAACGCTGCTCGTTTGTACAATAAAGCCACTGAAGGTCGAAGACGATGTAGATAATGTTTCAGGTGGTATTTATCTTTCCATTGACGTTTATTATCCTGTCTTACCAGGATACATTGTAATCAAAAGGGAGGGTTTGTTAAATGGAATGTTCCATACTTGAATATATTGAGGCAAGCGTCAGATATGACGGCATAAGCTCACTTATAACTCTTGCTATTCTTTTGAGTAGAAATAACTATTCCAGACAATGCAATTCCCCTACTTTGTCATTATGTTCCTCAATGCGTGATTATTTAATTGCCCCATCGTATCTTGCACAATGATGGAGAGCCCATTGGCGACCAGTATACCTGGAAATTGTGCTGACGAATACCGTATATGAACGACTCAACATTAAAGCTTTATTGGCATGGACCGCCGGATGGGCAATGGAATAGCCGGATTTGAATGACGTCATTAGGACGTCCTAGATGCTTTGGCAACCTTGGAATAGTCTGCGCGAAAAAGTCTGCACATCTTCGTAGGTGCGTGGCTCAGAAACTAGACGGATTTAGGTGTCAAGAAGAATAGGGCTGTGAGCTGCAGCGAATAATCGTCAAGATGGTATTTTAATTCAAAACCTCACACAACGCTCCCTTTAAATTATTACTTTACAGTGTTATATTCGTAATAACTACGAGGAAAACAAAACTTCTTGCGTTATGTTACACAAACGTAATCCGTGTTATAACACTGCATTGCCTGCACAATATTGGTTGAATGGCAATTGACGGCCGTTTCATCTGAACAGCGTGCTCTCGAGCGCCAGATATGAACGACTCAACAACTGTATTTCGTCTTGACCTTCAGCGCCGCATGAACAGTGAAATGGCAGGACTTTAATGGCGTCACTATGACGCCAATGGGTGCTCGGGTAGACTTAAGATAGCCTGCACGAAATAGTTCTCACATCTTGGCGGGCGCATAGCTCAGAAACAAGCGGGTTTTATGTCTTAAGAAAGGCAAGGCGTTGAACTTCACCGAATGATCTTCAAGATGTCTATTCAAGTTCAAAATGTCATACCAATGTGGAACACTCCCTTTGAGTGCCTGCTGTGAACCCTGGCTAGGAAAAGTGAGGCATCTGTTGCGGCCAAGGCGTGGCGATTGACAGTCCAAGTGGAGCGCGAGATGTCTGACGCCAAGTGTTTGGGCTGACGTCTGACCGGGCAATCGGGGCGATAGAAACAAGACGGAAAGTGCCAACTGTACAT